ACTAAAAATTACAAAGAACACAATTTAGATTGTCTCTGAAATATTACTATCTCGTACAGTTCATGCAAGCTGTTGGTTTAAATTAGTATGATAAGGATTTTTATGAATTAAGATTAATTTTATGACTTTTATTTTAACTTAAATGTTTACTATTATAATGTACGTATAGGTGTTTATATTGTATACTGCAATATTTAATTACACTTTGATATTAAAAAAAAAAAACCGAACAAATAACAAAAGCAGTATAAAATTAATTATTCTGTCGAGATATTGTAACAAGGGAATGTAAACAAACTTACAAACATAAACAGTGAAAATACCGAGATAGTTCCATAAAGTTTTAAGATTCAATCCATAAATGTTCTAAATAACTTATACATTAAAAGGTAATGTAAAATGTATATTATTTCAAAAATATATGAAGGTACATTTGAATTGATTTCACAAACTTAATACCACAAATTACAATATATAAGGTAGATGTACTTAATGTAATTAAGTTGATGAAAAAGTAAGATTTCGAAATTTCCGTACGTAATTTGTGTCAATATAACACTTAAGAATATGACTTTTGAATATTTAGCATTTTAACGTTAATAGTAGTTTATGCATGTATATAAATTATAAATTTAAAGTAACAATAATACCGTGGCGACCGTAGTGTATATAATACAAACGTATCACGGTGCCCATAACAACGAAATACCTAAGTCAAAACTTAAATAATACAATCATAATGTTATTGTATGAATGTTCAACGTGAAACATTTTTTTCAGAGCCATAAATAAATTGGTTATAACTTATAACATATAAATAATCCAATATTATATTTTTAGAAATAATTACATTGAACATTTCTTTTTACAATATGATCGGTGTATAATTTATATTGATAGATCGTCGATATTATTGCACTATTTGTAGGCAGGTCTAACCTCTAGTGTTGTTGGGCGTATTTAAATTTAGGGAAACCAAACTAATGTGGAAGGAGCAATGGAGAACAAGGCCTACTTGATTTCCCTCTCCTTAAACATTCTAAAATCTCAAGCTGTGATGAGATGTCCTTGCACGTACACATTGGTCGTTCTATGTGTATATAATAATACAAAATAATATGTAATATATCGTGATTATCAAGATGTGTGGCAATAAGGATACACAATACATGAGTATTATTTTATGTTTTAAACTGGTTTATCTTCGAGGGGTAAAGGGTGGGAGGACCGGGATAAAAGAGACGAAAAAGAAGATTTACTCACCAGAAGACCGGTTTCCACGCTGGGCAATAGGGTGAGGCGGCTTCCTTGCATCAACTGGTTGTCGTCCAACGAGCCATCTCTAAGTTGCCTACAATACAGAAAAAAAACCATAAATCAATAAACGCCTGGTCAATAACTGTATAGTACGATTAGAAATATCTAGGTTTAAATATTATTATCAACCATTGCTATCGAACATTCGATTAATATTATAATATTTATGTCCCGTGAAAACTCGAAAAAAAATCACTAATCATTTTCATACCAAGAAAATAATAACAACAGTAATAAATATCGATAGTGAGAAACAATGAGATTTTCAAGGTTTAAACACAATAATAATTATTATTATTATTACAGACGCGTTACATAAATGCGTCGAATTACGTATAGGTATTAAATTATTATTAATTATAGTTTGCATCCACCATGCGTTGTCGTAACATGTGGATAAACAACGAAGCTGTAATATGAGGTGTTATTTTTTTACTATTATTTTATTTGTTTCACGTGTGCGCACGACGTTCGATAACAAACGTAAGGAAAAAACACTAGAGGATGAATTGCGGAGGGGAAAACAATAGAAACGGACGAATGCAAGCGTTTTGCGAACCCCTAGTTTTTCATGACGAGAGAAAGCTGATTTTGACAAGTTGCTTTCTGGAGAATTCTTTCAAAAATATAACGCAAACATATCATACATAATGTCCGAGACGCAGGGTATGGAGTTTATACGTTTAACGAGCAGCGATGACGTGTTTCTTAGGGACGTATAATGGAGAGAAAAGGGCGACCAAGCAGCTGTTCTACACTTGTCCAACTACAAGGGACCCGTCTCGCAGCGTCGGGTTATTCACCCCCGAATCCGTAATGGCGGTGGCCTCGGATAGGGGAGCGGCGACGTTGTCAGCTGTTGGGATTTCGATCCCACGCTCAAGCTAAGAAAGACTGCTGCCGCCACCAATAATTGCGTAACAACAGTTCAAAAAAAGAATATTACACCCATAACCTTTTATCGTCTGTGGGTTACCTGTGGGGGTTCTAAAGATGGAAAGAATAAACGACGTAATCGTTTCGGAACGCATCCGTAACAAAGAACGACCAATCAAATCGGGACAGATATTATTTTACATACCTACCTAAAATTAACAATATTTTATTATATTTGTAATCTTGTTTTCAAAAAAACTATTTAGGAAAGAGTAACATAGGCGGCTGCTAATTTAATGGTGTAGTTCGGGGGCGTCGTTTGATAACGAATGTTTTGATTGCGAATCGCCCTAAATTACACACACACATATACAATCGTAATAAATGCGACATCCGGGAAACGAGCGTACCCGCGCTATCACCGGTCGATAGCATCGGCAGAGGACGCGCAAGCACCGGAACGAGCTCTCCCGGTTGGACACCTATGGCGAAAGCGACCAGAAACGGAATTATTGAAATTTGTCGACAATAGACGACAAGGCGTGCAAATCCTGTTGGCATGGATTTGCTGTGTCGCTTTTTTTGAAAGTTTCATTCTAAAGTCGGACGAAGGAAACAACGAAAAAAAGTAGTGTTTACAAAAAGTGATCACAAAGTCGTTTAGCTATGGAGCGGTGGAAAACAACGTAAATGTTGTCCTAAAGCGTTTCCAAACTGTTTAAGAACGACGCAATGGATGACTACAGCGGTGACAGAAAAACGACGAAACGGCAACGTCGACACTATTATATTATTATTATACCCGACCGACGTCTCTCTCAACCCCCCCTCTTATTCACCGAAACGGATTCGGGGAACCAACAACAATTTTTATCTCGAACGAGCAGCTGTTCCGAGGGTACGCGTCAAAACGGGTCGGCACGCACAATAAAACAGGGTCGTGACCCCTCCCCCCCAAAATGACAATGAGTCTCTCATGCTGGCTTCGTTATCGGACGGAAGTGCCGGTTTGCTCTACCTGGAGCTGGATACTTCGCATTTAGGAGCGCCGAGAAGGCGCTCGATCTCACCTATAAATGCGACGTTGACCGTTGGGAAGTGTGATGACGGACAACTAAACCATGGAAACGGGGGCAGCCGCGTCGAAAACGGAGAAAAATATAAAAAAACAATTTTGTCTCACCTCTCGCGGTACAACAGACATATCCGCTCTTTGGGCACTCTAAGACGTTTGGAGATCACTTTCTTTAGACTTTCCACCGAGTCGGTTTTGAGCACGGACAGATCGAACTGGCCGCCGGTGGTCGGGGAGACGGTGATCGTGATCTCGGACTCCTCCGCGGCCGCATGTTCGGACATGACGGCGCGGACAGCAGCGGCGAAGATCTTTCCTTCGGGGTCCGGATCGTTCGGATCGTAGTCACGGGCGCCGACCACAGCGTCGGCCGAGTCATCGCTGCTGCTAGCGGCCGCCTGATGATGGTCGTCGGTTTGCGTAGTCACTCCCGTCCTGTTCTGCTGTTCTCGCTCGGCCTGTATCGCCAGATATTCCCGGTGCCGCTGTTCCTGGGCGGCGGACGCTAAGAAAGCGGCCGTTTTCGCCGCTCGTTTAGCTGCCGCAAGGGCGGCCGTTCTTCTCGCCGTCTTGGCCGCTGCCGCCGCAGCTGCGGCCGTCGCGTCGTTGTTGTTGTCCACCGCGGCGCTGCTGCAACCGCACCCGGATTTTGACTCACTGGCGTCGTTGTTGCTACTGCTACTGCTACCTTCCATTGTGTCTCGTCAGGTTTTGATATCACAATAATATCAAATACAAATACTTAATTATATAGTATATACTATATGGATAGGGTCGAGAGGTTTGGATGTCTTATTGAGAATATATTTACTATAAATATATTACAATAAACGATTTTTATTTTACGGACGAGAAATACGAGAAGGTGGTAGATCACGATGCCGAGCACGCGAAATCCGGTGACGTCGAAAATCACAGACGCGAATCGGACGCCATGGCGGAGGAGTGACACAGCATGGACGGCGGCGGCGAACACAAAGAACGCGGACAACACTCAACGAGAGGAGCGGAGTAAAATAATAATAAAATAAAAAAAAAAAACAACAAAACAAAATAATAATAAAATTATACGTCCGCAAATGTACGCTAAACGACGGCGGCAACGAGACTAGACGACTACACGACCGTACAACGCCGTCGAATCGCGTAAAGGGAAATAGTGGAAAAGAAAGGAAGACGCGATGGCCGCAAAATGGTGGCATGTCTGTCGCACAAACGAGCGTCGAATTTCTCGCCAAGAATGTCAACTATTACTCGATTCTGGCTACACTGTACATCCCTTATTCACCAATAGATTACTCTATAGTCAGTGCTGGCAGTTGTCCATAAAATGATAAGAGTCTGAAAATGATAATTTGAATATATATATAACATATAACAACCTACTAGTTTTCTGTAGCTGTGATAAGGGTTGTGATAAAAAACAAAAAAAAAACAATCACAAAGTAAATTATTCTATGAAGGTAATAAACTTCGCAACGTAGATAAAGTATTGACAACTGACAAGTACTAAAAGCTAGCCATTTAAACAATCATATTATAATATTTGGTCTTTGCCCATCGTATAATCATATCACAAAAGGTGATAAAATTGTTTCTGTATCGTTTTCCGTGAACTTCACCACCACCTATGGCCTAACACACCCAAGGTATATAAACCTTGTAACACACCCACACATTTTTTGATGTTATTATTATTATATTATTACTTATCACTCTTATCACGGTTATGATGGAAATTCAAGGTTTAAAATTCTTCGGTTTTCGCCGTGGGTATTCGGCACTGCGGAAATAAATACCAAACAAACGTATATATAGTTTCTAGCTTTTCTACTTACATAACACAACACTCTGAAACAACAGTAGAACGTCACTAATCAGCAAATTTATTACTATTTACCTCTGGTTGATAGTGTTGTTATTTCTTTATCTGTGGTAGTCACTAGTCAGTACTCAGTACTTCAGTTTCAGTAATCAGTAGTCACTTCTCAGAAGTCAGCCGAGTAGCATGTACCTACTGCTCAATTACTAGGCTACGCAGTAATCACTGGTGTCTGGCACTAATTTCCAATTCTGTCGTATTCACGTATGTCAATTTACTAGAAAATTTCCCAACACGGCCATAGCTTCATCTAATATTGTTACTAATATGTTAATTAGCTAAGACCAATACAATGGACAAGTATGACAGAGCCTCTCAGCATATCAAAGGTAAACAAAGAGATAGATTTCCGATTATGAAAGACTACGTACTACTATTACCACTACTACTACGTTGTATAGAATTTCTAATGATTAAAACATTTAAATTATGCATATACTATGTAAATATTAATCATTTAAATGACAGGTGTATTTTTAAAAATGCCCTTATTTATTGTACTTGGCTCACATATGGTTGTTAAACTATGTACAACTAATATAATATTGATATATTTTATTAAAAAAAAAAAGAAATGTTTGTGTAGAAGTTTTAAATAATAGTTTATAATTTTCTCACATTACACCTATATTTTTTTTTAAATAAAATAGAATATAATAAAATTTTGTTGATACTAATATTATTTAACTTATTACAAAAGATAGCTTATTTTAAAATACTTTTATGATCTGTAAATTTTAATCTCTATTTTATATAATAAATTATAGGAATTATTATCATTGATAATATTTTTTAATTAATATAGGCAAATACCATTATAATATATGTTATGGCATGCCCACATAAGTATGGTTAATAGATCATACCTATTTCAATTGAGATTAAATGTGTACTTAATATTCTTTTGATAAAAAGTGCATAAAGCAAAATTTAAGCACATGAGTATTTTCATTTATTCTAATTCAAGAACTATTTCTGACTTTAACATTTTCAAGTGTCATATTGATTATCTTATTTTATTTTAGTTAATTGTATGATTTTGAATTTAAACATTACCAAAAAATGTGTAGTTAAGTTAACTGGAGCAACTAACTAATCATAAATGTATATTGTATTTGACATAATATTATGAGGAAAATGTACTATTTTGCACAATAGTGCATTTTCATTTTCCAAAATAATACAACGGATATTGGTTTTGAAGACTTACAATTGCAACTACCTAAAGCTTATATCTTGAAAAACATAATTATATTGAATAGCTTATGAAATATGTGTTAATTAATAATTTATTATGAATTACAGAATCTTTGAACACTAAAAATCTTGCCGAATGTCTAACACAAACCGGTCGTTTTTCATACTGTGCCTTATGTGCAACTTCATTAAGCTGCCTGTATAAATATCCTGCACATGTAGATTTTAAATTGGATTGTTTACGTATACTATGTAATCATTTAAAACTAATGTTACAACTACCTACTATGCGAGAGATGGCAAATTGTGAACTTCCTTTAGATGCCAAAGTATATGTTAGAGCTCTTAAAAAAGAAGAAGTACTGAAAGAAGGTATGATGATAATTGTACAAGACCTTCTTTTGCTGGCTATTTCAAATGGTAAAGTTTATTTTCTTTTATATATTCTTAAAATTATTATTATTAAATTATATTAATGAATTATAATTGTCAAATAAAATATTTTAACTTGCAAACAAAAGGATTAAGAATAAGTAAGTATCTAATTATTGGTGTATTGTTATTATCATTAAAATTTGTAGTTTTAAAATAAATTGTTTTAATTCTTATCAAAAAATATTGATTGCTTAATTTTTTTTTCATAATTTACTTAAATAATATAAAATAAATTTATAACAGTATGTAATTAAATTTACTTCCCTTATATAAAAATTGCAACTTTTTTTACTTCATATTACTTTAGTTTAATGATATTAAAAAAAAAATTTTAAATCATTCTTATTTTTAGGTACCTATGATGCTCGCTGGAGAGTCCTTATACTATATGTTACTCGTGTGTTTGATCTTGATCTAAGTATAGTTGATAATTTTGAGTTAAATGTTGTAAACTGTTTATCAAATTTTTTGCCAGTACAAACTGAGTAAGCATTTTTCAGCTTATTTATTATTATTATTTTTTTTTTTTTTTTTTATTCTCATAAAATTTACTTTCTTAATGCCTATTTTCAAATTAAGACAGGAACAAGCTGATGCTGCTCGTCGTCTTCGTGTATCAAAGACTAAACGTTTTGCATTAATTGGATTAGCATCAGTTGGTGGTGGAATTCTCCTTGGTTTAAGTGGCGGATTGGCTGCTCCTCTTATTGGTACAGGACTATCTAGTGTTCTAGGAACATCTATTTTTGGAGCTATAGGATCAGTGGGTGGTACAGCTATTGTTGGATCACTCTTTGGGGTTGCGGGAGCAAGTTTAACTGGTAATTATAAATAAATAACATACAATAACTAATAGGTTAAATAAGTATACTAAAACTATTATATTTTTTAGGATATAAAATGCATAAAAGAGTTGGTGACATAGAAGAGTTTCAATTTTGTAAACTGTCAACAGATACAGAAACTGGAGATATTCACTTACATATTACTATTGCTATATCTGGATGGTTAAATGATGATAAAGAAACCAGCTATAAAAAACCCTGGGAATATCTTCGAGTATTAATCTATTATATTTTATACATTTGCTACATTAATATTGTTATCTTATTCCCTCCAAAAAATTAACCCTATATGTGTTATTGACAACAGATTTAAAATGGAAGTGTTTGTTTCTTTTAAAAATACATTATGAAACTTTTTAAATATAGCAATTTAGTAAATTGAATATTCTTTTTAAATAATACCTGTTTTATTGTTCAGCATTTAAAAATATTAAAGATACCTAATGTTCTATAAAAATTGTTCAGAAATAATTTTATTTGCTGTTTTATTTTAAGTACCTATTTGCATATAATTCAGAATCACATAAATCTTTTTACAATTATCTGTCACTCATTACATTTTAACTCATATTTAAATTCAATTTCCTTTTTTAGGACAGTCCTGAACAATATTATCTACGATATGAATCTTCTTATCTGTTGGAGTTTGGAAGAGCTATGGAATACTTTTTTAGTTTTGCCGTTTCTGTAGCAGTTCAAGAATCTTTGAAGTATACTGTACTTTCAGGCCTAATGGCAGCTATTGCATGGCCTGCTGGAATTCTGGGATTGGCCTCTGTCATTGACAATCCATGGGGTGTATGCTGTCGACGTTCAGCTCAAGTTGGAAAACAATTAGCTGAAACTCTACTTACACATAGTCATGGTAATCGTCCAGTTACATTGATTGGTTATAGCCTCGGAGCTCGAGTTATTTATTATTGTTTACGAGTATGTATTTATTATAAAATAATTTAATGAAATTTACAAATGTGTTATATTTTAGGAAATGTCTCAAAGAGAAAATTGTCAAGGTATTGTCCAAGATGCTATCTTAATAGGTACTCCATGTACTAGAAATTCTTCAGACTGGAATAAAATTACAGAAATTGTGGCTGGGAGAGTAGTGAATGCTTATTGCAGGTTAACTTTATAAACTTATTTTAATATAATTTTATGATAAATAAGATTATAATACTTATTAATTTATTTTTAAACAAATTGTAGAAGTGATTGGTTCCTTAAATTCTTGTATAGAACACTTTCTATGCATGCAAATGGAGTTGCTGGTCTTCAAGCTATTCAATCAGTTAATGATAGAATAGAAAATATTGATTTGACTGATATTGTTTCAGGTAGGTAATAATTAACAATTATATAATATTTATCAACCTCAGTTTAGAATTTATTTTTAAACAAAAATAAAATAAATGTTTGCTACTCTGCTTTAATAATCCACAAATCTATTTCAATAAAATCTTTAGTTATTAATTATATTGTTATTTTATAGGACATTTTGAGTATCCACAAAAATTGACAGAGATTTTAATGTACATTGGAGTTAATGTAGATAAATCAGCCAAACTTGAATTAATTACTACACAATCTATGCCGGAAAAAATGTGTGAAAGTTTGAAAATAAATGTGAGTATACTGATAAATAAGAAATTTAAATATTTATCACCTATTTTTTACTGCATTTTCATTCAGACAAAGACTGAATCTTTTGATCATTGTCCCCTTTCAATTTTAAAAATGTTATGTTTAAAATAATAAATTAATTAAAATATGATATTTTATATTATATTTAAAAATAATATTTAGACAGTTGTCATCCTAGAATATAGCATAAATAAGCAATAGACTTAGCAGTAAAACACCAATGATTTCATCTAAGCTTAAGAACTTCTTGATTTTAATTTCTGACTCATTAATATTTATTACATTGTGAATAATAAATGATTAGCTTTTTGATTGAACAACCTTTAATATTTAGAATTATCAATTTTCTAGCATTATAACTTCATATTTTTTCAACTTCTTCAAGAATTCTTTCTACCATAACTAATATTCCACCTCACTCAGTTTTGTACTATGGCTTTTTAATTTCATACTTTAGGTATGACTGACATTTTTTTACAATATTGAACAATCTCTGTCATGTCTAATTGTATTTATTTTATATTGAACCTATACTATTTTAATTTTTTAAGACTTGCCCCAGAAAGAGTATGAATAATTATTATCATCCTACAATACAAATATTTTGCTAAACAAATCTAAACTAATTTTAACTTATTAGATAAAAAAAATCCATTATGCAGTAAAGTAAATTTCTACAGGTTATAGTGGCTATACAATTTAAAAACAAATAGTTTAGTTTTAGCAATAAACACTAATAGCTTATATGTTAAAATATTAATAGTACAATACATTATTTTATGAAATTAATTATTTATTTTTATTATCTAGGATGATACTGATATCAAAAAATCAAAATCTGTAATTGACCTCACAATTATTGACACCAAAAAAAAATGAAACACAATGATTGTTATGTCTGATATTAACATATCGAGCTTATTTCTTCAATTAAATGTATCCTATTAGATACTATATTAACTGTTTTAAAATATATAAATATATTTAAATAATATTGAAAATTTAAAGTTTATATGAATAATTTATAATAGCATGGTGCTTTAAAAATTATTTAAATTAATTAATAAATTGATATTTAACTTTGGCATAAATCAAAAATTATTGAAACTCATTTTTTGAAGAAGCTTATTTTTAACATTTCTATTTTCAATTTAATTAACAAACACATTATTTTTTTTACAAATCTGTTTGGTAAAATATTTTTTTTATTATATATTTTCATATAAATATTTTCAATTAAATAAATATTAGAACATAATATTAATACAGTGTACTCTTTAAGTATCTGTCATCTTCCGCGGAATCAGTATAAAAAAAACTTCAATCATAAGTTAAAAAGAAGTGTTTTTAAACAAAAAAACAACTGATTTTTTTGCATACAAATAATTTATAATTTTTCATTATTATATACATGTGTATCTTTGATTTTTACCATAAAATTTAAAATAGTTTCCTAATATTACACACATATAATCATTGAATTTTGGTTTTAATTTGCATTTTTCAGATTATCCGCGGAATTTGCTTATTGGTGGATGCCAAGCAACCCTATTCCGTGGATAATCGAGAGTACACTGTAATAAAAATTTTATTTATTATCACAGAAATAGATAGAAAAGATAAGGTAATGAAAATTAATTATCTTTTAGTGTTCCTATTAGTATTTAAACACCTATCATAAAGATTTAATATGTCACTTTTTTGAATCTATTATCTTTAATTTTGGTATTATGATAAAATATATCATTTTCTAAAAATGTTAATGGCATTTTCACACTATTGTTAAATACAATAACACACAAAAAATTATCTTTAATTGAAATCAGTGCCTTATTTAGTTATTTGGTTGGAATGAGGTATAGGGCAACAGATTATTCAACACCAATAGGAGTAAAATTCAAAGCTTAGTGCCTTAATTGTAATCTCTATTGTTTTTGGGACCAGAAATTGTATTTACAATATTAATGTCAATAATTAGATTAAATTCAAATTTTTTATAATTTTGATTATACCAATATTACAGATAATTTCAACTGTCATATTTAATTTAGTTACTGTATTAGTTAATTTCTTATAAATTACTTAAACTACTAGTACCATATTTATGCGAGAATATTAGGGAAATATATCTCTTGGCTCTTTTAACCCCGTCCCCCGCCATTTTCAGTATATACTTAAACGGTCATTATTGTGTTTTTTTTTCCATTTATCATTTTAAAAGTAGGTAAAAAAATTTTGAGGTATTTGTCATTGACAATTTTAATTATAACTCCGCCTCAAAGAAATTATTAATATACCACTGAAAATCACAATAGAGAATATTTGTTTTTCATTTCATCATTTTAAATAAAAATTAATTTGTTGTTAAAATTATAATAAAAAAATGATTATATTTTTTTAAATCAAAGAAAATTAAAATAATACTTTATAAATTAAAAGTTTTAAAACAATTTTGTAAATTTTTATCTAATTTGGAATAATATGTATTATTTTTTTATTAATTATTATAATTATAATATTTTATATTACTGTTATTTTCCATAATTAAATGTCAATATTTTTTAAATAATAAATTAATTATTTACTAAGTCACAATTTATTTAGCTAAAACTTCTTTTTAATTATCTAATTACACGGGAGTATAATTAAAAATATGGGAACATAGTTGTAATTTTAAAGTACTTATTTTACATGTTTTTTTGTTGTATAAATATATTTTTTGTTTGTTCTCTATTTTACATTGTTGTATATACTATATTATAATAAAGAAGTAATTATAAAGCTTTCAGTATGTTATCATTTTACTAATCTATGATAAATATACAAAAAACAAAACATTTACAATTTGATTTAAAAATTTTTTTTAATATATTTTTTTAATAAGCAATATTTTTGAATTGTAATCAAGATATTAATATTTATCTAAAAACGGACGTTTAAAATAATTTAGTTATCAAATGTATGTTACAACATTTATAGAATACCATAATTTAATTTTTGTACAAAAATTATTTTACAATGCATCACACTGTCACTGTAAGTTATTAAACCTGTTTTATAGTAGTCAATTTTGTAAACATTTACATCTACAATTGAAAAGACAAATTTTGAAAATGAATACAAAATTAAATTAAATCACAATTAACAAAAAAAGTATTTAAATTAACATTTAAGAAATTATCAAATTAATATTTTGTGTTAACTTTGCATTATTGTAAGCGTGACTTATTTTAAAAATGGTAATTAATATTAAATATTTTAAAAGGTAACAATATGTCATTTATGTATTTTCACTATTTATTAAATTTGTATCTTTTAATATGATATAAATAATCAATTTATATAATTTATATGTATATATAATATATTTATATATATATTTCTGGAATGTTGTTACTTTTTATAATGCACTTGATTAAAATTTTAAATAAACTAATCATAATGGGATAAAATAATATTTGTCATAAAAGTGCTTATATTACATTTGACTAGAGGCAGCGGCAAACAGTTGTATCTAATTTAATGTTGGCTGTAGTGTCTATAAATAACATCCCTTTATGAGTATATTTAATATGCCTAACTGCTTAATGAAGCCATAGGCGAGGACGGAGACATTGGTGATCGGTTACAATCACTTGCAGATGAATTTGGTGATCCATTTAATGTGATCACTAGCTTTCGACTACCAGCTTGATTTCGATGCTCACACAGCCAAATACCTTGCCATGTACCAAGATTCAATTTCCCTTCAGTAATGGGCACTGTTATTGATGAACCAAGAAAACATGCTTTTACATGGGCTGGCTAAAAATAATAATTACAATATATTAGATATTTTAATAAAACAAAAATATTTTTGTTAATTTAAAAAAATTATTGTTTTTTTTTTTAAAAAAAAAAAAGAATTTATTTACCATGTCATCTGGTCCTTCACACGAATGTCGATAAGGTAAACCCTAAAAATCAAACACATTACATAAAATTTATTAATAAGTTATTTATAAGGAATTAGAAAAGATACATGACATCATTGGACCAAGATTGCCATAATTACCTAACTTATAAGTGTAAAAATAACTGGTATAACACAATAATCTATCTTCCAAATTTTTGAAATACAGAATATATGATAGGTTTCCTTAAAAGTAGTTTTTGAGAAATTTAAAATCTCATAAAAATAAAATTTGTTGCACACCCCTCTGCAACCACATAAAATTACTTATCAATTATCACAATACCAATATAGTGCAAACAAAAATATCTCTTAGTATTTTTAATACACAGTGAAACCTATTTATAATGAACAATTATAGGACCTTAAAAAGTGTTTGTTATAGACAGGTTTACCTATATATAAACTGTATTTGGTAAAACTCACAAACATAACTATATAAATATTTAATAAAATTATTTTACATTAATTATTTAATTTTTAATACTTAAAATAGTATTAATAATAATATAATATAATAGTAAACACATTGTATTTCAAAAAATAACAAAACTAATGCTTGTTTTTGTCTTAATTTTAATTTTGTCATTTCTAGTTTGTGACGTTTAATTAATTCACACACACACATAAAAATTCTTATTGTCATACTTCATAAAACTCTTTTAGACAAATTACCCATCTAAAAGCTTCTGAATAGTTTAAAAACATCTCAATTCCAGAGTGTTCTTATTGGTCATCATTTAATTGCTCACCATCTATTTCCATTGGATTTAGTTCATAGCAATAGTTATCTAAAACCAAAGCCAAAATATCATCAAAACTGCATCTGTAGATATTATTATCTATTTGAACAAAATCGTCATTTCGAAGAAATGAAAGAAGTTCCATCGGTTTGATCAACTCATTACCATTTATTTAATTTTCCATTTCTGTAAGTTAACTGGGTTAAAAATCCTGCTTTTCTTGAGTAGTTTGTTATTGTTAATGGAGAAACTTCTGTCTATGTTTTTATTTTACCTATGTAATCGCTTTCAAAACATTAATTTGCTTTGCCAAGTTTTGTGCATTTGAGTGCTATAATTGAGATTCACAAGTGTTTGCAATGCAAACTTACAGTACTTATTTTGAAATTTTGAATTATTCAAAAGATTGAGAAGCTAAAGTTATGTTAAGGGAAAAAAAATTAATTTAATGCTGTCCAAATTTAGATATGCCTGTGATGTGGCGTTGTCAAGAAACAAAAAATTTTTTTTTTATAGGGTACATTAGCTAGTCGAATTGTTGAAACCAATCTATCAACACAGATGTAATTATCCATGCTTAACTATTTGTTTTCCATTCTACTCCTAGTTTACTATCGTCGATTACATTAAACACCCTGTCTTTAAAGATTTTCCAATGTCAAGTTTTTCCTCATACATGTTCACACGCAGAGGAACCATTAGACGTTATTAAGAAATTTTTTTACCAGAGCATATCTGTTGTTCTTTATAAGACTAAGTGTTGTCTGATAATACTCAGTAAAACAGACCTATTTTGCTAGCATTAAATATGTCTTGTGAATTATACTCTGTCATTTTTTCTATAATATTTGATATCCACTCATTAATGACATACTTGTGACATTTTCGTGTTATACCAACAAAAAATATTTTTTTTATTTTTTAAAACTTCGGCTCTTGCATTATCCCAATTCCAAATTTCTCACCAAGTTTGCAATTTAATAAGCCACTAAAATCTTTATACTGAAAAACTCCATTCTTTCTGTTAAGCTAAATTATTTATACAGTACTTAAGGTGAAATAAATTAAATTAAAAATTAAGACAAACAATGAAAAATGTACAACACTATAATAATAAAGCGATATTTATTAAGCACTAATATAGAACATTGTATGTATTGTAATTTGTTATAATTGCAATATCTGAAATAGATCACCACAGCAACTACTACTGCATATGTACATACACATTTGCAATATAATATATATTTGATTTTGAACTAAAATATACATAAAAAAAAAATAATGAATGTTTTATTGAAATTCTGGTATGTCTATTACCACTTGTAGCACAATAAATCAGATTTATAAACCAATCTAATATAAACAATTTAGGTTAGTAAATCATTGTGTAAATTGAGCAACTTTTATGTGTGAATGATTCATATGTATATGTCAATTATTTTTAGCATGGCTCAATAACATCATGTGGCTATTCTAATTTTCTTAATATCTCTATGATATATTTTTTTATATTAAATTTTAACTAAATCTATTTTAATAGTTCTGACTAAAATATATGACATTTAATAACAATATAAAAAAAAGATTATTTATATTGTTTAATGCTCATCTTAACTATAGTGACAGATAGTTTTTATCATAACTTACTTCGGGAACAATTTTATTCAGCATCATCTCCATATCATCTCTAAAGAAACAAATAATTATACTTGTTAAATTTAATATAATTTATATGAAACAATAATTTTAAACATGAATTGAATAATATACACATTTTTAAATTTTTTTCAATGCTATTTTATTACACTCGTATTATATTCTTACCGAACATTTGGATCCCAACTTTCATTAATGGCAAGGCTAGCTGATGTATGTAAAACTAAAAAATGTAAAAATAATTTATTAGTTTATTTAAATAGATATGTATATACAATGTTATTTCTCTTTTCACGCATAATTTTTAACAAAAAAATTTCAATGAAATAATCAATCAGGTCTCTACAAAGAATATTTACATTTGAATGACATATTTTTAAAACAATAATACCCCATTTTCTCTAAATTTCTTTTTATAGAAAAAATTTTTTAGAATTTTCAGAATTTTTAATAACTTTCTTTAGTTTTAAGTTAATATTATTTCAATATGAGCTAGTTATTAGTGATATATTTTGTTAACACAAAATTCATATTTTTAAAATTGTAATTCCTTCTTTTAATGAATAATCTAAATTTATTTGTAATAAAAGAATCATATTAAGTAGGTACCTAAATCTATTTCTAATAATGAATGAAACAAAAGATAAATTCAGTATGAATTAAATTATTTTATTAATTAATCCAATGCTACAGTTCAAGTATCTTTTGATTGATGTTTTTATTACATTAACAATTTAAATTAAAAATAAACATATTTAATTCTTTCTAATATTAAGTTCACATTTAGAAATAATGAGCTAAAGCACAAAAGACGTGAAATGGAATACTTATGTTTAAAAAATAAGTAAACATTTTCTGTTGAAACTTTGCTGAATTTTTGATTTCTATAAATAATATAAAAAAAAAAAAAAGGAATGAAATAAGAGAAAAGCATTGATGGCACAAAATTAAATATTAACTTATTTATGTCTAGGTGGCTATAAATTATAAATAATCAAATAAATAAACCATTTAAAGAAATAAGAATAATTAATGCATCAATAAATGAAAATATAGGAACTATAGTTTTATTAGGTGAAATAATAAAAATAAGAGAATACAAGCATTAGAAATATTAAACTTGAAAATGGCACACAAAATGTAATATATATTAACTATTTATTAACAATTAAATTGTTATTTTTAACTTTATATTGACTATAATTTTAGTACTTAATGGTTATTATTCGTGATATACCTGCTATTAAACTTATATGAAGTTGATTTTTAAATATGGAAAATGACAGATAAGTATGGAAAATTTTAAATGCTTACTTTGTATGTGACATAAACCAACAGAAAATTGAGATATTTCTGGTATTTGTTTTAGAATTTCTTCAGTTACTAAATGTACGCCCCTGTGTTGTGGTCTTAGATTAATTTTACGTTGAAACCACGCAGAACCAATTTGAATTCCTCGACTCGACGATGCCATTCCAAAATATTTACGTTCACGACAGTAATAATATTCTGTTGATAAAACATAAACAATATAATACACAAAATATAGAAAACATAAACATTTAAATAATTTAATAATTTTTCAGTTACTATATAATAAGTGAATAACAAATTAGCTGTTTAAAAGAACAAAATTATCATTTACAGTGGTCATCGCATAATATACATTTCGTAGTGTGCGTTAAACAAAGTTCAAAGTCCAATGGATGTAAATTAAATAAATAAATGTGCTAGGAATACAAAAACCACGAATAATTTGTAATTTCTTATGTAACTAAATAGTGTCTAGTACTAATCTAAAAAGTAAAAAGTTTCGAAAGACGAGATTACAGTAAAAAAAAAAATGTATCAAAACAAATTTTCAAACAGTGTTACTTTAAGAAACATAAAATTCCCTTTTTCCGACTATGGTTTTGCCAACCGTTACTATAATAACAATGGTACTTCAGGGCAGCGCTATATTGAACTTTTGAATTTATCAAAAAAGCTGAAAAATTGCTATTATTTTAAAGTGTGAATACTCTTTTCTTAAAGCTTAAACGCATATTAACTAATAATAAATAATTTTCAGCAACACCTGCCACTAAGTCCTGAACACGCCTATGAAAAGAATACTAACTTATTTATTTTGAATAAATACAATTTTATTATTAATTACAATTACAGCTAATAGGTACATTTATCAAAATTAAAATTAAAATAAATCTTTAGCTATCCAATATTACCCATATTGGCCATATTGTTATCATGTTTGGTGTTGTAATATAAATTTAATAAATTTAGTCACCACTAAGCCGATCCGTATCTCCACAAAATAAAAATAAAATATTTCAACTAAAATATATTATGATTCTCTAATTTGTGAATCATAATATTCATAAATTATAATACAAATAACTGAAATAACTTAAAATTTAGTACTACGCATCTCATACATATCTCCACCTGTTGTGTCGCAATTACAGCTTACAATCAAATTCTATAATTTGTTTTTTCGATTATGTACTTTTAGATTCTGGTCAGAGTAAATACGTTCACTTAATATGACATATGTATGAATGTCATTTTTGTGACACAATATAAGTAAGTATCTAAGTGGTCGAATCAATTTTCAAATTTTAAACATCATCAGTTCAGAAAAGAAAATTTTATCTAGTTTATTCTTTAAAGAAATCTAATTTAAAAATTCCTAGTTATTTAAAAAAAAAACCATGAAAAACAAACAAATACTTGAGAAAAAAATGCAAAATTTAACAAAAATTCAGTTTTTGTTAAAATCGATTTTGTTTTTATGTTGTATCTTGAAAACTTAAAACGAAAAGCTGTAGAGATACTTGAAATTTTTACCAATATTTATATCATAACTCTTTATATTTGTATTATAATTTTAAAAATATTTTGATTCTTCTTATAAACACTTATTTGGAATTTTACATTTTGTTTAGTTTTTTTTTTAACTGTCGATAAAAAATTATTTTCTAAATAAAAATACTTGATAATTTAATCCAAGATTTCACATAAGCTTTTTTAATTACCGATTAAAAAACATCAAATATTTATTGTCATACATTTTTTTTATAAGCGTTTAAATTTTAAATTAAAAAAAAAAATACATATGATTTCTAAAATTTTCAAATTAGTTTCTATAATCTATAGTAAAAAATTTACATATATAAAAAAATTCCGTTTATGTCTAAGATTTGAAAATACAATACAGAGTTTTTTTAACCTCTATTAAAAAAAAAAAATTTCCACCCAAGAGTCAATTTAATATTTTATGAACACTCGAAGTTAACATTTTACATTGTATATTCATCCGTAAAATTAAAACTATTTATCCTCAAATGATTTTTGTTATTTTATTGTAATCAAAAAAATAATAACCGTAAAAGTTGAAAGTTTCACAAAATTTTTAAATAACTTTTTGTACAAGGCAAAATTTTTAAAACATTATGATTTCATTTTAAGTTATTTATAAATATTTGAAGTATTCAGTTATTATTAGTTTTATTTCTAAAAAGTCAATAACCATTTTTAACTTGGTCAAAAAGCTTGAAAACTTAAAATAATATTCTGCATAAATTATTTTTAAAAGATGCGTAAAAATATTTAAAATACATATGCACAATTTATTTTTTCAAACATTTGAAGTTAAAGTTTTAATAAAATTTTATCAAAATCATGAAAATATAAAAATTTTCTGTAGTTGAAAATTTATAAAATGTGTTATTATTTTAACTAAGACTTGAAAACTTTATACAAGGCTTTACCTAAGTAGTTTATACTGAAACAGTGAAACCAATAAATTAAAAAAATATATTAGCTTATTTTTTTTTCATAGAAATTCTATGTTTAAACATTATTCGTATAGGACATAAAACTTTTATGTAATATGATAAATTATATGTTTATATATTAATATTATATTATTATACTTTATACACTCAAAGAATAAAGATATTTTCAAATGCAATTTTTTTTGACAAAAATTAATTTAACCTACTATATACGTATTACTAATAGTAAAATAAATTACTTGATAAGATTTCAAAAAAAAAAAAAAAAAAATAGCATGTGATGTAGGTTGGCTAATAGACTTTTTCCGCTAATGATTTATCATTGTATTATTTGTATTCAAATTTAACACATTCATAAAAATGACCCATTTGATACCTATACAATAGATCGAGCTATTCATTTGATCAACTTTTTTTCATTACATTTAGTGAAATATATTCAACTAAATTTTACATAGGTTTTCTATAGCATAGGTACCTACCTTATTTAATAGCCAATAGATTTAAACACAATTAATCACTTTATGTCAACATAATTTTCTATTACATTAACAATAATGTACCTAATTAAATTCATTTTGGAAAATATCCATCGTGAGATAATTTTTTCATTATCATTATATACCTATTATCATTTTTTTTTTTTTTTTATAAATGTGTAACATAGATTAAATAGTTAATAATTTACGATTTTGATACTTACTTTTTTTTTACATATTCGACATATTCGCGGGTTAAAATTATAAATTGTATTTTTTATATTTGAATTTCAGTTTACTCACTTGAAACTGATAAGTTGAAAATATATTGTAATAACAAACACACTGAAGTACCCATCTGAAGTACCTATCTCATAAGATAATTTTTTTTTAATAATTTGATAAGATATATTAAGTAAAATTTAGATAAAGCGATAGCGATGTCTTTAATCATTAGCTGAAGTAAAGTAGGTAATCATTTTAAAAACATTCTTATCTCAAATTTAAATAAGAATAAAGAATTAAGCAATAATGTTTTGATAGTTAATTTATTTAAATTAGAATTTTAAAAATTTCTAATCCATTTCGAATATTGAAAAATTAATCATGTTCAAATAATAAATTTTAGACTACAATGTTTATTTTTTAAAAATGTCAAGTACTAGTAGTGATACTGATGAGTTTTTTGATGCTGAAGATTTTGCAGTTCGTGATCAAAAGTAAAAATGTTTCTTTAGTACCAGCGTTTGGTATACATTTTATAACATAATTATCTATTTTGTAGTGAACAATCCAAACAAATTGTCAAAAGCGAAAAAGAACTTTTGGAAGAAAAAAAGAAAAATATGACTTTCAAAATATTAAATACTTCCAAAATGGTATAATAAATAAATACAATTATTTTTTAAGAATTATTTATATGAATAATTATACTAGGTTTCAGAGCACAATGGTCGTCGTAAATTCAATGAAATTAGGCAGCATATGCAAATCGATGAAGATGAAATACAAGCTGTATCCCCAACTGAAAGTCAAGCTTCATCAGCTGATGGAGTATTCTTAGCACCTTCACATAGACCTAGCCATCCTTTTAGAGTTATTGAGCCTGATGGAGCATCTGTGCAAAGTATCTTATCCTTGGGTAAAGTTGGTCGATTATTGGGAAGTGTTCCTACAGATCATTTCATAGGTTTGTATGCTAAACTATTATAATTTTTTTTTTTTTTTTTTAATTGCATTTTTGAAGTGATTTTAAAATAAAGCAATTTTTAGGAAAAGAATCTGCCCTGCGGCCATCAGAAAACAAAAAATTATCTGAACCAGAAACACCTGTTTCTATTGAAGATAAACCTATTGTACCTGCTGAACCTTTCACAGCTTTCCATGAACCTGATGTAATTGCAAGCACAAAATTTCCAAATAATGGAACTATTAGTATAGATGCTGATAGACCTATTGCCCCTCCAAGACGACGAAGACGCAAACAAATAAATATTTCAATTGAAAATAATGGTGCTAAACCTGAAGACAATTCAAATGTACATACAGTATTAAGTTAAAGGATCAATTAAAGTATTTTATTAATTTATTTAATATTTTTTGATTAGCAATTGAATACCGAAAAAAATGAAACTAGTGTCAATTGTTTAACAAGTCCAGTGAGTACCATAGAATCACTGACAAGAGAATTAGAGCATTCGTTAGATCTTCATTCTGCTACCAAAGGTCAATATATTGTAAATCACCATGTAAGTAAAATTTTATTACAGTTTTTTTTTTTATTTATGATGTTAATAATTTTTTTACATTTAGATTAAATCTAGAATATCTATATTAGGATAGTTTGAAAAATCTAGGAAGTTTATGAAACTTCCTTACTTGAATACGTTAACATCATTCAACTAATAAAAATATTGATCTAAACTAAATATTTTATACTTTTAGGATCGAGAAAAACCAGTTCTTAATATAATTAAAGAAGCAATTGAAGATGTGAAAGAAAAATCTAAAACAATTGCTTCGCATAGTAATACATACCCAATGGCTGGTTCAAGTGGTATAGCTTCTAATCGATCATGTAATCGTGTTGCTTCGCGAGAACGTCGAAGATCAGCTGGTGATGAACAGGAGCTAAGAGATCAGCAGTTAAATATGTTTTTAAAAACACATACAGATTCCGGAAAAAAATTAACTGATATAGTAAGTATTTACAATTAATTAATATGACTCTTACTAATAAATTAATTTAAAAATAGGAAATATTGGAGCAAATAACTGTATTAAATTTGGATACCGGAGAAAGAGTTCCATTAAGTATAGCTGAAGATAAATTACCTCAATGCATTAACCCATTATCTTTACATATAATGCGCTTGACATCAGAATATGTTAGCACTCCAAATTTAGATTCACATTCATTTAGATCAAATTCTGTTAAGAAACTTAAAGAATCTGATGAAGAAAGCATTGGTAGTAAATCTAATGATACAGTGGCTACAGGGCGAGATGATCCTGTAGATGAATCTGCTATACGTCGTCGTACAGCAAGAATCAAGCGTTTTTTGGGTACTACTGTCAAAAAAACTGTAAATAAAGCTAGATTTATCGCACATGAAGTATCACATGTAAGGCACAAAGAAGATGTTATGGAAATTATAGATTTAGTAGAAAGACCACAACTTACAACTGACGTTCCTAATGCTCCTCAAGTTAATGAGACGTTCAAATTGAGAGCATCAAATAGCCATAAAGGACCATATGAATTTGATTCTGTTCAGCATGTTCAAGTTAGTTAATTAAACAAATAATTTTAAATACATTATCTATACTGCTTACATTTTTTTTTTTTTAGGAATTCTGCCATGAACATACTGGTCCTGTGTGGTGTATGAAATTTTCTATGTGTGGTAGACTTTTAGCTACTGCTGGACAAGACCGAGTACTTCGAGTTTGGGTTTTGCGAGATGCTTTCAAAGATTTTCATGAAATGCGAAAAAAATACGATGCTGATAAAGTTTCACCAACACCATCAACAGAATCTTTAGTTTCTCAACTTTCAGTAGATGATCAATCATTTACAGCTGATCCAGATGATCGTGGGCCATTTATGTCACGTCCATTTTGTACTTACACAGGACATCGTTCTGATTTGCTGGATATAGCTTGGTCAAAAAATTACTTTGTCCTGTCATCATCAATGGATAAAACTGTTAGATTATGGCATATAAGCAGAAGAGAATGTTTATGTTGTTTTCAACATATTGATTTTGTGACAGCTATATGTTTTCATCCACGTGATGATCGATATTTTTTGAGCGGATCATTAGATGGAAAACTTCGTCTATGGAATATTCCTGATAAAAAAGTAGCAGTTTGGAACGAAGTTGAAGGACAGACTAAACTCATAACCGCTGCTAATTTTTGTCAGAATGGTAAATTTGCTGTTGTGGGTTCATATGATGGACGTTGTATATTTTACACAACCGATCAATTACGCTATCATACTCAAATACACGTACGTTCTACTAGAGGCCGAAATTCAACGGGGCGCAAAATTAGCGGTATTGAACCAATGCCTGGTGAAGATAAAGTATTAGTAACTTCAAATGATAGTCGCATAAGATTATATGATCTCAGAGACTTAAATCTGTCTTGCAAGTATAAGGGCTATGTTAATATAAGTAGTCAAATCAAAGCTAGTTTCAGTCATGATGGTAAATATATAGTATGTGGGTCAGAAAATCAATGCATATATGTATGGAAAACACATCATGACTATTCAAAATTCACATCTGTAAGACGAGATCGAAATGATTACTGGGAAGGAATCAAAGCTCATAATGCTGTTGTGACATGTGCAATTTTTGCTCCCAATCCAGAAGTGGTGTTTAGACAAATGAAAACAGATGAAAACAGTGGCCAAGATGGGTATGTTTTAGTAAGTGCAGATTTTAATGGTTGTATACGTGTATTTATCAACCGAATGAAACCTAAACATAGTTCATTACCAGCCAGTGCTATGGTATAATTTAATTCAACTAAAATTGATATTTTTTATTTTAATATTTTATGCTTGGCTTTTTAATGTAAATAAAAAAAAACTTTGACTATTGAAATAAATTTTATATGTTATTAATTAGTGAAAATTTTAACTATTAGAAAATAATAATTAAACTATTATAGTGATATTGTTAGCAGATGGTGAGGTATAATTAATTTTAAATTGTTACCATTATTTTATAACAAAATTTATTTTAAATCAATTTGGCTTCTGGTAATATTGTTTTTATGAATGTTAAATATTTTTTAATATATTGTCAACAAAATAATATCTACTCTTTTGTTATTTATTTATTTACATAACATTCTTCCATTATTCCTTAATTTCAGAAGATTAATAATTTAACTCATTACTGAAAATGAAACCTGTAATTTGTAACCTGTAAATGATTTTAATTGTATACCATACTGTCCATACTAAGAGATGCATTATATTCATTATCGCTATAAAACTTTTATCTTGTTCAAAGAATTAAATTCATAAAACGAAGGCTAATTATATTTTTGTTCTTAAATCTCAAAAGTATGCATATTGATACATATAACAATACTGGCCACAGGTTGTCTTTAAATAATTGATCAAATTTCAATAGGATAAGATTCAAAGATTAACAGTTATATAAATTATTATTCTGTTTACAATTGTTTAATATGACCCTTATTATTTAAACAGCAGATATCTAAGCGATATATGATCTTGTACTATTACACAGATTACTAACGGTTGATCCATGAATATTTTAAGAATTCACTTTAGTATTTGTATCGTTTGTGGGTTAATCAAATAAATTTGATCTTTTGACACATTAAATATAATATAATAAATTTCTTCACACAATTTTAAATGCTTGCATTATAATTCAAAATTGTAACTATTTTTAAATACAATTTAAAATGAAATTATCAAATCTAAATGTACAATATATTTTTATGGTTGCGATTTCCATTTATTTTCATAATTATTTATCAAAAGACTTTTATACTTTTTTAATTTCACTTCAAATTCATCTCCATCTAATTTGGCAGATAATACTTCTACTCTTGATACTAAAAGAAAATCTGGATTATTTGGACTAGGACCTTTCACTAGATCCACCTCATCCCCTACTTCTATTGCATGGCTTTTCTTCTGTACTTTTTCTCCATTCACACGGATACGACTTTCATAAAAAGCTACTTCAATTTTACTAAAAATAAAATACATACATAGATACTTTAATAAAACAGCAATAAAATTCATAACTCCCGACATTACTTTCTAGACTTTCCTAGTGCATGTTTTAGAACAGTATCCATTCTCATCGTACTGGTCCTAAATTTAACCAGTTGACTGGATTCGTCCATTTCTAAATCGAATTCATCGTCAGAATCTTGGTCATTCTACAAAAGGAATATAATTCAATAAATTATAAATTCCTGATCGAGGATTGATTTATTTGACCAGATATTACTTCTTTTTTTGTACGTTTGTAACGTCTGTCTATGTTGACACATAACAATTTATTTGCAAGAATCGGCTGTCGACATTGATAGTAGATACTCCGAACCAAATATCTGTTTAAAACTGAAGATCGTAATCCAGTTGAAACGATTGATGAGAGCTGGGACAGATACCTTATGGTCTTGAACATTTTACTAAAATATTATTTAAGACTACGAAATCTGTAATACAATTTTACAAAACGTCAGCGGAACGCCAGAATGTATAATAAAAATTAAAATGCCTTAATCCTAAATTTCTAATGACAAAACGAAATACGATTCTACGAAGCTTATTTACAATATTATATTGAAAATTGAAATTCGAAAATGATATTGACTCATTATCAATGTTCGCCGGTGAGATAAGAGCACAGACTTCTATCTATATAATTAAAGTCTGTGGATAAGAGCAGGTATCAGTGATGAGACAAAAGTCAAAAACCTCTGATCATAGAGCAGAGTAGGGCGTTATTCGAATGAAATTTTATTTAGATGTTATTTAGACAACATTTTATCTGAATAAATGATTATTCCGATGATTTTTTCACAATTATTCGTATAAAAAATTGTTCGAATAGGTAATTATCTGAATACAATTTTGTGCAACTCTGCTATAAAGTATTACTCTATGCAGTAATAGTGTGCTACTGACCAACTATAGCATTACTGAATCTCTCGTAAATGGTTACCTAGCTGATGTCTCAATGATGAAACCGCAATAGTTTATATTAATTTATATCAAATCAAATTTTTTTGAAATTAAATTGAATAAAATCATTTTTAGTTTTGAATCCAGATATTTATTTTAATCAATAATAAATAATTATATTTTATCTTTAAAGTTTAAAATATTAAATGTTATAGCAGATACGACTGATGTATACGACGGCACAGGGACGCTAAAATCAGGGGGATGCGCGAAAGGCGTTAAAATTAGAAAAAAAGAGAATGAATGGCACCGAAATAATTCAAGGCAATGGACGCCGAAAAAAACTAGAGCCAACCCTGGCTATAGCAAATATCTCCATACACGTATAACAATGCTTATAAGTATACGTATACTTACCAGCCTATAGTACTGATTTAAAAATACAACACTGAAAAAAACCAATTTCTAATCGTACGTAATAAGTTATATGTAAATATTTTATTTTTTGATGGGTTTCTAAAATTGTCAAGGCGAATACATTCATTAGCCTTTTAATATCTACAACAGCAATGCAATTAATTAAATATATAAATATACGTAATACGTGTGTCGATTTAGTTAAATTAATTTGTGTATCATAATAATATGAATAAAATATGTGAGTATAATAATAAATTGAACATGGATAGTCGACGATGCTTCATTTTGACATGTATCGGTGACGTTTTGTCAACAAACGATAGAACACACTTAATAACAATATTAAATTATGATTGCGTCAAAAAAAAAATGGGATAATCTACATTTTTCAATTATTAGTTTAATACGAAACACGTGAATAATTATTATTGTGTATTACTGTATTAGTGAAATAATATGAAAAAAGAATTCGCGCCATCGAAAAATCGTATCGCCATCTATGGACAAAAACGTGTAATCATCGGCGTTTTGTAGTAGTTAAATAGAAGTATTTTCCTCATAACATTCGACCGGGAGTGGCGGCGCGCTCCTGTAATCCGGCTGCTCGGAGGTCGGATTGCGTGGATGGTTTGAGGTGGGGGCAACTGTGGCGGGTCGGTCCGCGTTGAACGGACGTCCGCGCTAAGCTTGTCGTCAATATGGGTTCGGCGGGGTAGCCCATCGAACCCAGGTTAGCTAAGGAGAGGCGAACCGGGCCAGGGGGGAAACCCAGCAGCCAAAAGTCTCCGCGGTGAGCAGTAGCGGGATAGCGTCTGCGAGTAGAACACTCGTTTGCAGCCTCGCCAATACAATCAGACCGCAATCTACATTTTTTGCACTTTTTTTCACGTTTATTTTTTTCAATTAAAAAATATTTTAACGTTTTTTTTTCGCGCAAATTAACACGATTGGAGAAACTATTTGTCTCTTGTGTATTTTGTAATCAATTAAAATTTTTTTTTTATTAAAAATAAAAAATAAATATTTTTTTAAACATACAATAAAAACCAAAATGTCTACAAATATGTAATAGAATTAGTCTTTAAATAACATACTTTCGACCGTTATAAAAAATGTTCAATATTTTTGTACACATTACTAAGTTAGTTTGACCTAATAAACAGTAAGGTTAAAAGCTAATATTTAAAATACAAATGTATTATTAAATTACAAATATAATTCTATATCAAATCGTTAATTAATTGTTTTTTATGTATAGAATTATTTTTGCACCTTAGTCCTGAATCATATTAATTTCGATGTATTCTTATTATTTTAAAATTAAAATAACAAAATTGTAAATTTTTAATGTACCTACCTATATTAAAATTATATTTACCGATATAATATTTAATTAATTTATACTAATTATAGTTTGAAACATTTTAGTGATATACGTGAGGTTAAGAGTATTGATTATTGGTCTAAAAATAATTTTAATTAACAATTAATTATGATTAAAACCATGAAACATTTTGATTTATTTATTTGTTTTGTATAAAATTATTTATTATTTATATAGTTAGTTTTGAGTAAATACATTGTTTTTTTTTTATAACTATTTATGATAAAACAACACATTATTACTAACTTTGTTTGTATATATTCTTGGTATACCGGTATTTCATCCAATATTTCATGAAGTGGAGGCTGAGATTAGGTACTATAGACAGTTGTTGATTATTTTATAGCTGCAAATTTATAATTATTTTTCTTCTCAACATATTTACATTTCATACAACCGTCAACCATCAATCATATAACGTGCTATTTTATGTGTACTTTAATACTTACCACAACCATATAAGGTGTTTAACAAATATGTTTATATTTAAAACGAAAAGTGGTATCTAATCAGATATTATAATTTAAATAATGTCGAGTGGGAATAGTTTTTAAATTTGCTATAGTAATTCGTTCCGCATATTTTTCGACTGATATTTGTATGCAGGAAAACTAACAAATTTAAATTAAGCTAATGTCTTGTCGAGTATTAAATCGTAACTTTTAATTTAGTTATATGCAATATACTTACTTATTATACCTGCAAAATTATTTCTTAATAGATTTTATAATAAAATCCTTAAAATATTCTACATTCAACGATATGAGGTTATTAACTATGGCGTTAGGTTAATGCTAAAAGAGCATATTAATGTATGCGTAGATACCTAATAGCATATTTTCAAGAACAAGTCTATAAAATGAAAAGTTTTATTTCAGACCCCAAGGCATACGGTCGTTAAAAAATAGTTTGAAGAATTGAAAACATTAAAACAAGATCAAAATAACATAATAAGATATCTGTCTAGTGTCTACATAATAATTAATTATGGTTTGCCCGTAACATTATATCGATATATTTCAATAATACACAATTTTTCATATTTTTGATAATTACTATAAACAAATAAGTGTATATATATAGTAAAATAATATTACTTTTTTAAGTTTTTAAATCTGTTAAAATCTTGTTTTAAATTTTAAAAATATTGTTGATTATAAGTTTTAATGAAATAAAATAATAACCTTGGTTTTAAAGTGTTTAAAAGCACTCAAACTAAAATAAACACATCTTAAAAACTCAACGAATTTTGTAACAATAATACTGTAATAGCTTTTTTATTCTTAAGTATTGCTATTACTGAATATTTCAGCATGACTAGAAACCGATCGCTCGACATTTCAAAACTAAAATCAAGGCGAAATACTTATATTAAATTAAATAAGTATACACAACATAAGCACATTATACATAATATATGAACTGTTTATATTTTTGTAGACATAATATGTGATAATAAACGCACGAATACTTATAAATAATAATAATAATAATCATAATTAAATATTATGAAGAAAAAGAAACGTGAAAAGTCATCGTGTGCGCCATGGGTAGTTGGGATTTTGATAATAGGTGACCACGTCTCTTATCCAATCCGAGTAACAAGACACTGCAGTATAGACTCCAGGATAGGTCGGGTTTGCACAGCCAAGTCCCCAACTAACGATACCACATAGGTAGAAACGGTTGTCGTCAGCCAAACACGTCAATGGGCCACCGGAATCACCCTGTATAATATTGATGGAGAAAAAAATTGTAAATTTAGTTATAAATATAGTAATTTATTTATTTTTGTAGTGAGCGACGTGAAGAAGGGAGGCCGCGCGTTAGGTTGAAAAGCGTTGATAAACAATATATGAATCTTAATTTATCCACAAGATTTATAATAAGGATTGAATATTTGAATCAAAAGCTAATGGAACGACTCAATTATAAAATATTGTACAATAATATTATGTGTGCGTACTTGACAAGAATCCGCCTCGTATTCTAGCGTTCCTCCACCGCAGATCACACACCGACTGACGTAATCGCCATAACCGGCGTTGTTGTACAAGTTCAGACAATCGTCAACCGCAATCAGGGGCAATCGCACTTTCTGCAAGACGTGTGCGAAATCGCCGTTTTCGGACACGCGTCCCCAACCTGTGACCAGCGCCAAAGCTATAATTTGCACACACACACACACACGACCGAGTAATTATCAAATATATGTACGTAATAATATCGTAATAGGTTTTAGGCGATGTATAAAACATACGATCCTACTGTAAATTGTGGTAGAGGTTAAATATTACACAGCTATGAGGCCATCTAAAATTTACGATGAAATATCGCTGCTGGGAATTATCTATCGCCAAAGCCGCCACAATATTTAACTCGAACCGTCCACAGCGGTTTTATAACGTGACATTTAGACGGCCCTTCTCCGGATGCACAACTGTACGGTAGATGCAGCATAATATAATATATTGTGGTGGCAATGTAGCGTATTTGTTTTATGGCCAATTTTTTCATCCTGAAGATGAACATGATTAATCAAAAGTGTCGTTACCTAGAGGTACAATGGTACATAATTGATAACAGTATCCAAACCCCAAGACCCATCCCTACTGGTTACTATACATTAAGACCTATTATTATAATTAAATTGCTTATTGTGCATACTAATAAAATATTAAATTATATCATAATTGTTTTCTATAATTAAATGGTATTAAATTTTAACAAACAATTGACCACCACCTGTCAACGAATACCCATCGAAATTCACTGATGAGGTTGTAGGTTAAAAATAGAAACATTAAGTTGTGATTCTTAGCGTTTCAACAGATTACATTAGGTATAAATACGAGTATGTTTTAAAATTATATATATTAATATTTGTGTAGACGTTAATATAATATACCTATTAAAATATAACGCCTATATTCTCAAACAAAAACAACTATTTCGGAATATATATCTATTAATAATATATATATATATATTACATATATATTAATACGACAATTTAACTACGTTATAATATGTAATGAATATTTACCATTATCGAATTGCGTTTCTGGTCTTGGAATACAAATCGGAGATACATAAAATCCGTCAAACACTAATGCCGGAACCACCCTGAGCAACGCAATATCTCTGGAAAACCATTTCTTGTCGAATCCGTTTAAATATATGTCTGCAACTTTCACCCTCTGGTCACCATCTTTTAGAAAAGACACTTTAAAAATATTTCCAAACAAGAGAAATTTTCAAAAAACATTTACTTTTGACTGTATAAAGATCGTTTTTTCCAGCCACTACGGAAAGCACGTCTTCCGACAATCCGTACACACAATGCGCTGCCGTCAACACCCAATTTTCATTGATTACAGATCCACCACACATATGTCTTGCCGTTTTTCCGGTGACGAGTTGCAAAGATATCTGCCACGGAAATTCACCTACACATAATATTTATAGGGTGATTATCTAAGCGTACATACATCGTTTTAAATCTTAAAATTGTATGCATTTATTTAAATACTAATTTCCAAGATATCGACTTGGATAAATACTTGCGGAAACTATATATTCTTAAATACTTTTTTTTTTTACAGATTTTACATTTAAAATACAATTTTTACTTCAAATAATATTCCTTTTTTCTAAAAATTGAATATCAGTGGATTTAAAAAAAAAATTTTAACGTATTTAAACCAAAATTTGAACAAGTAGCTTAGTGTATTGATGTATTATACGACGAATGCAAATCCTTTTATATATACAAAACAACAGGCCATTTTTATGTTCCTATTTTATGACATTATTTAATATTTTTCCTATTTTTTTTTTCACAAGGTTGTACCATAGTCTTCTAAGGATGACCAATTATTCACAATTTAATTTTAATCGTCATTAGATACTCATTACAGTCATTTTGAGAAAACATTAACTACCCACGGGCGAAGTCGGGTAATTCAGCTAGTAAAATATAAAGGTATACATCATATATAGAAGTACTAAGTACACTTGTTTAGGTAGGCAGCAATTAAATTCAAATTTAGTAAGTACGCATAATGTATAATAATTATAATAAATTATAACACTGTAATAAAATGTAATACAATAAAATGCATATTAATATATTATATATTATCATCGTACGATCTTTATTACCTGGTATCGAATCTGTACCACCGACCACTCGACTATTGCCATCGGACCTAAACCATTCACTCCTTCCCTGCACACCACAAGGTACAGAGTAATTCAGAAAACTAGAAATAAACGAATTCAACATAATATATTATCAATTATCAATGTATTACCAACCTACTTACTTTTATATCTCATAATTATTTTAGTATATAAATATAATATTATATGTGTATAACAGTAAATTAGTAATATGTATAGACTTAGGTACTTGTGTAATTCATCGACGAAGCTCGTAACATCTATAAATTGATTTATATAGTTTTCATTCGAGTTCGCTATTTCTGCGGCGATTTGTTCGAAACTAGTGAAAAAATCATGAAAATAATCACGGAAATAATCATTCCAATCGTTTAAATCATCAGCGAAACAGAAATTTTCTTCAGATTTTATTTTTAAATTTGTTTCTAACATACAGTTTCCTTAAAAAAAAAAAATCAAATAATATACTAAACAAACTCTAAATAATGTATTTACAAATAGTTGTATATCATACCGACAATGCATTTTGTTGCAGCCGTGTGCAGTATTGCTAAACTAAACAGAGTTACAACGATCATGATCGACTACTGGACTACTGACATTATTATTATTTTTATTTAAATAACACTGTGCAATGTTTTGCCTAAAGGCTTCGCCAGCCTGATAGACAACATTTTCTAAATAATATTTTGGCTATCGACGTATCGTTGCGTCTTCTATAAGTAATAACTAATAAGTTACGTAACGCTAATGGTGAAAAATAACTAGAACATGATATAAATAAAATAAAAATATTCTAAACAATTTATTGGGCATTCAACAAATTACATATATATATATATATATAAATAGGTACATAAATCACATCAAGTCATTTTTAAAAATCAATACATAATTAAAATAAATAAATATAGATACATATAAATTAATAATACTGCATTTTTACACTTATTTTCGGTATAAATTTATAACATAATATTATAATGTGTATAAAATAATTTATGCTATCAGTATCGCACTGCAATATCCACTTCTTTCGGTTGTTCCGTCAACAATTTTTTGCTCGTTATTGCTTCGTCTGTAAACATAGATATAACATATAATTTTACATATTTAACTGTATGGTATAGGTAATATAAGTAATAATTACCATTAGAAGATAATGTATTAAAGCTATCTAGTTTTTTTCTACGTTTCACTGGACTGATCGCACACTGAGCAGAACCCTTACAGCGCACCATTTCTGAAAGCGAATCTCGAAGCCATTCTTTTTCTTTGGGCTCTAAAGTATAAGCTCGATTTCGCTGTTGGAATGGATCGATTTTCATGTTGTAAAAAGTCACTAGCCCAGTGACGAATTCACAATAAAGGAAATTATGTGTGGCGTTAATCGTGCGAAGACACGAATATGTATTGTTATTTGCGTTCATGCAGAAACAAAATGGTCCCTCTGTAGAAAGAAAACAGACAAAATCGTTGAAATGGTTTAAGATTTATATACGGTAAATATAGCAACTTATTATTTACTCTGATAGTATAGTTTTCTTAAATAAAGGCATTAAACAATTCGTTCAGTTCATATGATTATTATTTTAGCTTAGAGTTTAGACTGATGAATGTGTATCTACTTATTCATTCCAAAAATGTTTAACTTAGATATTAAAAAAAAAAATAAGAAAAAAAAAATTTTAGTCATAGTAAGTAGTAAGTACACTAAGTAGTACATATGTTGTTTGTTTAGGTTAAAATTCGCAAAAACCCATGCCTAATTATTGTTTTAAAATTAAAATGTACTTAAGTATGCATTTACAATATTGATAAAACGACGTTTTTTAAAAACAATGAAGGAACTGTTATTGTAGATACTAACACAAATTCAGTGATATAAGTAATATTATGTGGATAGTATTTGGTTTGGTTTTTATAGTTAAGTAAAACAATTTTGGCCGAATGCAAAAACTCCCAAGCTTTACATGTTATGCAATTATTATTGTGAAATCTAAAATTAAAAAATTAAATACAATTTGTAATTGTTAGCAACTATAGTTGATACTTTTATTTTTATTATTACTTTGACATAATAGCATAAGATATTCGTATTTATTTATAACTATATATAAGTATCACTAATCATGGTACATTATTGATTAATAACAATTAACAAATAAATGTCTATAAACAACTATTTAACTAATTAGTCTTATTAAGAATCAGCTCTCAATTACCGGCTACACTTAATTAATGACAAAATATTATTAAGTTATAAAACACATTTTTGAATTAAAGTAGATATATCTAATATATATTATATTATGGCATTTTTATGATGGTAAGTTAATTAAAATATCAGTAATAATAAAAAGTTATCGCTTAGATAATCTTATATGATTGTCTTGCTATACCAACCAATAGTATTTTGAATAAATAGTACAAAACCTGTTTCTATCATGAAGGTATGTATCATATGCTAATTAGGAACATTACCTGTCCAAAATGGTGCGGTTCGCCAATGATCATTATCATGATTAAAACAGTTCATTTTTTCTAGCATACACTCCTTATTTAGCTTAGAATTTTTCTTACGGAATTTTCGTCCTTTTTTCTTTTGTCTATCTGCTTTAAGCAGCTTTTTTACCTCCTTGTTTAATGCAGGATCATTATCACTAAACCTTTTGTATCAAAATCAATAAATTAAAGTTGGGTAATACTAGTAATACAAATTTATATGAGTACATTTTTGAATTTGCTTACATAAAAGGCGCACAATAACATGTATCTGCAGAAGCACTTTTAGTTTGTGATTTATGTCCATGATGTCTAAGAATATGAGGTTCAACTCCATCCACTAGTAAGCTATCAGGACTTATGCTATAATTGTTTACAGGTACCATCCTGTATAAGATATTGTAAAAGAAGTTTAAAAGTCAGCTAAAAATGTAATTAAACTTTTATATTAAGATAACTAATATTTTATAGACCTAAGATTCCATTGTGTTTGAGAGTAATCTGTAGGCAAATTATCAGAATCATCTTCATTTAGGTCATCGTCTGTGTCGTCATCTTCTTCATCTTTGTCATCAATATTTGGTCGCTTTGTTTCAAGGTGTTTTTGTATTTCTTTTAATTTCTCTAATTTTTTTTGCAAATTTGAAATTTGTTTTTGTACACGATTCTGACTGAATTTCCAAACTTTTGGATTGTTATATACAATATTTGTACACTTAACATCACCATTAGGTGTAACTGTACAGCTAGCTAGAGCAGAGTCATTTACCACTGTCATTGAACGTAAGTCATCAATTTGTTTGTTCAATACATTCTTAATCGAAGACATGTTATTACTGAGAGGAACCATAATGTCTCTGCGAAAACGATCTTTAAAATTGGCCACTTTTAAATTTCTGAAAAGTTATAGATTTAATAATTATTAAAATAAAAACTTTCCACTACAGACAATAAATATTTACTTAGAATTATATTTTTTGTTCTTATCCATTTCAAGCTTTGTGTACAAATTTCCATCAGCAGAAAAGCAAGTACATTTTTTAAGTCCATTTAGAAGTCGATTACGGTTTTTTAGATTACATTTATGTTTTCGCCATCTACAAAACACATTAATAAATATTAAAAATTAATACTTTATTAGTTTTCTTATAAAATACAATAACTTACCTGAATCCATCACGAATACAATGCCATTTTTGTCCAGGCTTACAAGGAGACTGGTAATCTGATCTCTGACATAATATAAAAAGTTCACTAGCTTTATTACCAACAACAACTCCCAAATCATCTTCAATACTAAAATCTTTTTTTTTTAATATTAATTATTATTCATTTTTTTTTTTTAATTTAAAGGAAATTACCATTGTTAATTGATGGTGATAAAATAGTAGATATTTTTTTATGTTTATTATGTTCTCTCCGACCACTGCTCTCAATCAAAAATGTATCAGGCCAGTGTGCAACAAATTTTTTATTACCCTTTTTGTGTTTATGGAATAGTTTGAATGCAGAACGACCATCCATATGAGCAGGGGGATTAACACCGGCAATGTCCAAAAATGTAGGTGCCAAGTCTATGTTAAGAAATATTTCATTTACTCTAAAATAATTAAATTAAATTATTAATATATGAGTATAGGATGAATGAATAGATAAATGCTATTTATTTATTCACTTACTTTGTTCCAGGTTCGATACCAGGTCCTCTTACTAACATAGGGATACGCACATCAAACTCAAATGGAAAAGATTTACCTTTTACTAAACCAAATTGACCTAAGTGATAACCATGGTCAGAAGTATAAATAATATATGTATTCTCTAATTCGCCTAATTGCTTCAGTTCTCCATAAACCTGGTAAATAATAAAAAAAAAAAAAAAATGTAAAAATAAATAAATTGTAATAATTACTTAATATTTTCACTTACTCTAGCTACAGCATCATCTACACTTTGCAATGTTTGCAATCGTTTTGTCATTAATAGATTTGTGAATTTTTTATGAATCGGTAACATTTGTCCAGTCGCTTGTAAAATCCACTGTTTATCAGGATTAGGAGCATAGTCATATGTAGGAGTGCTGCAAATAATAAAATATTTATAATTAATATCAAAATCAAGGATTTTAAGGATTAAAGCTAACAAAACTAGCAAAAAGATATATTCTAAAGATAAATATGTGAAAATTATTTTTGAGTTTTTTAAAAATTGATTTATTTTATGACTGGATAGTATTTTGTAATTATAACTAAAAGAAATAATCAAACAAAATGTATTCCTAACTGTCTAACACAATGGGTTAAACAATAATATATAAGTACAATATTTATAATTTATACAAAAAAATATTAAACATTATTGTAATTTGTAATATTATTTGTTTATATTTTTTTAACAGTGCTAATGCTAACTAGAATATTATAACAACAAATGGTTTATTAATAGACTTACTATTGTTAACATTATCTTTATTTTTTAGTAGCAACACATTGCTATATTAGACAGTTTAAAATATATTTAGCAAGACGTATGATAAGAGACACTTAAAATAACAGGTTTAATTTAGTATTTAGCACACATGATCCAGTTTCTATCATAAATTGTGCAGATGACTAGTTAGTAGTTACCACCCACAACTTTGCATAAATCTTGGAATTAGTTAAGACTTACTGGTGTGAAGTCACGTTAAAAAACATATCAGAGTATTGAGGTGCAGAGTCTTCGGGGCCGTGAGGTGACGGGAAACTCATTACAAGCATAAATGGACGATTGGGGTGGTGCTGTTTCGTGTGTCGAAGAAAATTTATCGAGTCGTTGGTGACCAAATTTGGATAGTAATCCTGTAAGTGGATTAAAAGTTAAGTGATTAACTATACTGAACAGTTATAACTTATAAACAATATTTACCTTATGGTAGTCGTCACCATGTTTAATTTTTTTTCCATTTAAGTTCACTGAATAATTGTAATATTTAGAATTCATAATAAGTCCTCCCCATTGACGCCAGCCTGGAGGTATGTAGCTTCCATTATATTTGTTTAAATATTTTCCAAAATATCCTAAATAAAGTACAATTTTAATTTATTGATTTGTCCTCCAACACTTTGAATATTAAAAAAAAATACAGTTTATTATAAATTACAATTTTATAATTACGAGAATTGATTTTTTATAAAAAAATAATTACACGCAAGAGGCACTTAAAAATACCTGTGTGATATCCTGCCTCGTTGGTTAAATAAGTGGCAAAT